AACTTCACAGTCTTCTACACTAGTAGAGCTAGTCAACTTCACAGTCTTCTACACTAGTAGAACTAGTCAACTTCACAGTCTTCTACACTAGTAGAACTAGTCAACTTCACAGTCTTCTATACTAGTAGTCGAAGAGAATAGTATATGTTTGTACAAGTAGTTATTTTCTTAATACACACGCGTCAGTCAAGGAAGCACATCATACTAGTAGAACTAGTCAATCTTGGAAACACAGTCTATTACAGTAGTAGAACTAGTCAACTTCACAGTCTTCTATACTAGTCAGAACTAGTCGCATGCACAAATGACAGTCTTCTATACTAGTAGAAACTAGTCAAGGTCACAGGGCTTTTTACCAGCAGTTCTTCTAGAGAATACAGTAGAAGAGCTAGTCAACTTCACAGTCTTCTATACTAGTAGAACTAGTCAACTTCACAGTCTTCTACACTAGTAGAACTAGTTCAACTTCACAGTCAACTTCAGTCACAGTCTTCTATACTAGTAGAACTAGAACTTCACAGTCTTCAAGTAGAACTAGTCAACTTCACAGTCTTCTATACTAGAGAACTAGTCAACTTCACAGTCTTCTATACTAGTAGAACTAGTCAACTTCACAGTCTTCTACACTAGTAGAACTAGTCAACTGTATACTACTAGTTCCACTTCACAGTCTTCTATACTAGTAGAAACTAGTCAACTTCACAGTCTTCTACACTAGTAGAACTAGTCAACTTCACAGTCTTCTATACTAGTAGAACTAGTCAACTTCACAGTCTTCTATACTAGTAGAACTAGTCAACAACTCCACAGTCTTCTATACTAGTAGAACTAGTCACTTCACAGTCTTCTATACTAGTAGAACTTCAACTTCACAGTCTTCTTAGTACACTAGTAGAACTAGTCAAAACTAGTCAACTTCACAAGTTTCTATACTTGTAGAACTAGTCAACTTCACAGTCTTTACTATACTAGTACTAACTACAGTCAACTTCACAGTCTTCTACACTAGTAGAACTAGTCAAACTTCACAGTCTTCTATACTAGTAGAACTAGTCAACTTCACATTCTTCTATACTAGTAGAACTAGTCAACTTCACAGTCTTCTATACTAGTAGAACTAGTCAACTTCACAGTCTTCTATACTAGTAGAACTAGTCAACTTCACAGTCTTCTATACTAGTAGAACTAGTCAACTTCACAGTCTTCTACACTAGTAGAACTAGTCAACTTCACAGTCTTCTATACTAGTAGAACTAGTCAACTTCACAGTCTTTCTATACTAGTAGAACTAGTCAACTTCACAGTCTTCTATACTAGTAGAACTAGTCAACTTCACAGTCTTCTATACTAGTAGAACTAGTCAACTTCACAGTCTTCTATACTAGTAGAACTAGTCAACTTCACAGTCTTCTATACTAGTAGAACTAGTCAACTTCACAGTCTTCTATACTAGTAGAACTAGTCAACTTCACAGTCTTCTACACTAGTAGAACTAGTCAACTTCACAGTCTTCTATACTAGTAGAACTAGTCAACTTCACAGTCTTCTATACTAGTAGAACTAGTCAACTTCACAGTCTTCTATACTAGTAGAACTAGTCAACTTCACAGTCTTCTATACTACACTAGTAGAACTAGTCAACTTCACAGTCTTCTACACTAGTAGAACTAGTCAACTTCACAGTCTTCTATACTAGTAGAACTAGTCAACTTCACAGTCTTCTATACTAGTAGAACTAGTCAACTTCACAGTCTTCTATACTAGTAGAACTAGTCAACTTCACAGTCTTCTATACTAGTAGAACTAGTCAACTTCACAGTCTTCTATACTAGTAGAACTAGTCAACTTCACAGTCTTCTACACTAGTAGAACTAGTCAACTTCACAGTCTTCTATACTAGTAGAACTAGTCAACTTCACAGTCTTCTATACTAGTAGAACTAGTCAACTTCACAGTCTTCTATACTAGTAGAACTAGTCAACTTCACAGTCTTCTATACTAGTAGAACTAGTCAACTTCACAGTCTTCTATACTAGTAGAACTAGTCAACTTCACAGTCTTCTATACTAGTAGAACTAGTCAACTTCACAGTCTTCTATACTAGTAGAACTAGTCAACTCCACAGTCTTCTATACTAGTAGAACTAGTCAACTTCACAGTCTTCTATACTAGTAGAACTAGTCAACTTCTCACAGTACTTTCACAGTTCTATACTAGTAGAACTAGTCAACTTCACAGTCTTCTATACTAGTAGAACTAGTCAACTTCACAGTCTTCTATACTAGTAGAACTAGTCAACTTCACAGTCTTCTATACTAGTAGAACTAGTCAACTTCACAGTCTTCTATACTAGTAGAACTAGTCAACTTCACAGTCTTCTAGTTCTTCTATACTAGTAGAACTAGTCAACTTCACAGTCTTCTATACTACTAGAACTAGTCAACTTCACAGTCTTCTAGTTCTTCTATACTAGTAGAACTAGTCAACTTCACAGTCTTCTATACTAGTAGAACTAGTCAACTTCACAGTCTTCTATACTAGTAGAACTAGTCAACTTCACAGTCTTCTATACTAGTAGAACTAGTCAACTTCACAGTCTTCTATACTAGTAGAACTAGTCAACTTCACAGTCTTCTATACTAGTAGAACTAGTCAACTTCACAGTCTTCTATACTAGTAGAACTAGTCAACTCCACAGTCTTCTATACTAGTAGAACTAGTCAGTCAACTTCAACAGTCTTTCACAGTCTATACTAGTAGAAACTAGTCAACTCCACAGTCTAGTCTATATACTAGTAGTAGAACTAGTCAACTTCACAGTCTTCTATACTAGTAGAACTAGTCAACTCCACAGTCTTCTATACTAGTAGAAACTAGTCAACTTCGCAGTCTTCTATACTAGTAGAAAACTAGTCAACTCCACAGTCTCTATACTAGTAGAACTAGTCAACTTCGCAGTCTTCACAGTCTTCTATCCACATTCTTCTAGTAGAAACTAGTCAACTTCACAGTCTTCTATACTAGTAGAACTAGTCAACTTCACAGTCTTCTATACTAGTAGAACTAGTCAACTTCACAGTCTTCTATACTAGTAGAACTAGTCAACTTCACAGTCTTCTAGTTCTTCTATACTAGTAGAACTAGTCAACTCCACAGTCTTCTATACTAGTAGAACTAGTCAACTCCACAGTCTTCTATACTAGTAGAACTAGTCAACTCCACAGTCTTCTATACTAGTAGAACTAGTCAACTTCACAGTCTTCTATACTAGTAAAACTAGTCAACTTCACAGTCTTCTAGTTCTTCTATACTAGTAGAACTAGTCAACTTCGCAGTCTTCTATACTAGTAGAACTAGTCAACTTCACAGTCTTCTATACTAGTAGAACTAGTCAACTTCGCAGTCTTCTATACTAGTAGAACTAGTCAACTTCACAGTCTTCTATACTAGTAGAACTAGTCAACTTCACAGTCTTCTATACTAGTAGAACTAGTCAACTTCGCAGTCTTCTATACTAGTAGAACTAGTCAACTTCACAGTCTTCTATACTAGTAGAACTAGTCAACTTCGCAGTCTTCTATACTAGTAGAACTAGTCAACTTCACAGTCTTCTATACTAGTAGAACTAGTCAACTCCACAGTCTTCTATACTAGTAGAACTAGTCAACTTCGCAGTCTTCTATACTAGTAGAACTAGTCAACTTCGCAGTCTTCTATACTAGTAGAACTAGTCAACTTCGCAGTCTTCTATACTAGTAGAACTAGTCAACTTCACAGTCTTCTATACTAGTAAAACTAGTCAACTTCACAGTCTTCTACACTAGTAGAACTAGTCAACTTCACAGTCTTCTATACTAGTAGAACTAGTCAACTCCACATTCTATACTAGTAGAACTAGTCAACTCCACAGTCTTCTATACTAGTAGAACTAGTCAACTTCACAGAATCATAGTCACAAATGAAAAACTTAACGTTCAGGAAAGCCTTTATCAGGACATAAAATTGACAACAAAACAATTACAAACAGGAATCCACAATAAAACCACATCTTCACTATTTCCACATAATTTGTCACTAATCTGCCAGCTGTCCATGGGTCACTTCCTTATATGAGGACAGGATTTATATAGCTCTTAAGAATAAAAAATTTTGACGGCTGAAGCTGTCCGAAAAAGTAGCATCGTGGTTCTGTCACAACTTACTTTATTAAATTGTAATACTGTTAGCAATACCAATACAACTAGAAATAACTTCTAAACTAACTTCGTCTAATGTCTAGATATTTTTATCTTATCTAAATTGTAATACTGTTAGCAATACCAATACAACTAGAAATAACTTGTAAACTAACTTTGTCTAATGTCTAGTATTAATAGCAATGACTGGAATACCATGTATGTGGCATTAACCAGATATTATTTGTTAGAACCAAAACTTATATGTGCATCTCTCACTGCCTCACATCCCGAATGACCATAAGTTTAATCTTTGTTTGAGCTTATTTGCATACCGTCTTTGTCCATCTCTCAGACTATAAGTATTGTACACTATGTACATGCTTGACCCTTTTGTTTAACCCTTGTCCAACCAGGGTCAGGTCATTCATTACCACAGAAGGATAAACAGCAGTTTCACCAAGAGAAAACAGTGTTACCAACTATTCCTACCATGTTGCTTGGTGCCAAAAATAAAAGATAATGAAGATAATTCAGTTTGCTGGTTGGTGTCTTTCAGAACTGATTGAGGGGGAAAAGGGGGGGGGGGTGCATGGTGAAATGATCAAGCCAACTGTGTTACAGTGTAAAAGCTGTTGTTATATTACAGTTTCACAGCTGTGTCCTTTGATTCACATGTTCACTTTTTAGGTAGATCCCTGTAGGCATGAGGCTAGCCATCTGCAGAAAGAGATCCAGCCATATGGCATAAAACCTGGTGCAGTAAAGTTGAACATCTCAGCTTGAACTTAATTCATTGTTTTGTTTCTATCTTCACCTTGACAGATACAAGACACAGCCACCTGAACTTACAGACCCTGCATCTTCAGCGTCGACACCAGCAGACACCCCTGGCAGACGCAAGTACAAGTATGAAGGAAGACACCGGACACAACCTATCACACCAGATGAGATGAGGGAGGCAGAAGCAGCAACTCCTGTTTCCAATTTAACTCACACACCTGGAGGGTCTATAGCTGACAGGTATGTGCTTGTAAAATATCCAGGTTGTTCCTTAAGTTTGCATACATAGGAGAAATACAATGTTTTTTCAATGAAAACTATTTTTATTCATTTAATAGGCTCTAAATTAATGTTCTTCAACCTGTAGGCCACGGCCCACTGATAGGCCGTAGGAAGTCCAGGTGGTCTGCCAAAACGTGCTGCCTAATCCTGGCAGGTAGCTCTTTTTTTTCTCTCTTTCTGGATAGCAATATATGGCATACTACTGGACATAAATTTGCCTAGAAAACCACACAACAGCCAGGGGCTGTTAGGGTTGGTTCTGCAACGTCCAGTAAAGGATACACAACTAACCTCTTTGGATAGCAATCTGTAAGAGTAACATTTGGTTTTGTTTCTGTTAGCTAGTCATGAATTTTACATTCAGTAGGAGTTTACCATTGCTTCTGAACTGTCTTTGCTCCATACCACTGTCAGAATCAACGCAAAGCGATCTACTGCCAGATCACTTGCAGCTGGAATTAAACCTGAGACTTTGGAATTATGAAGCTCATTCACAATGCCCAGGCCCCCAGATGCCAACTTTATAACGACCCTTTTTACAACAGCGGCCCTCCAGGCATATGATGCTCGACTCATATTTTATGGCCTAGTTGTTACTTGGTTGGCGATGTGGTCAACACTGTGCTGGCCTCCTTTACTTCCATGGTCAATATTCTGGTATGCATTTTAGGCTGGGTTGACCTGTGTCAGTTATAAACAAATCTGCCTGATGTTGAAAGCGAAACCCAGACCATGAGGCCAGCAAGCAGGCATTAACCCGTTAGCTAACATGACACCCTGGGTTCCCTCTACCTCTACCTGTACTGAAATATGAGAAACATTGGCTTGTTCATTGACGATTTCACCTTAAAGATTTTACTTGAAATATTAAAGGCTAAATGCAGGCAACCACCTTCCTTTCATCTTTATCAGAACGAGACTGACGGAAGTTTTCTTTACCTGTCAAGTTACGCAAGGTTGAACTCCTTATGTGTTTCAAGCCAGAGTCTGTGGTAAAACCTTCGACTTCTGCAATGAACACATGTTCTTGCAAAATATTTGAAAAATAAGCAAAATTTCAGTGTGGTTGAGAATTTGCTTTTCAGTAATTTTTATAACATTAAAAATATTATACCTTTTTTAATTACTCAACTGATTAAAGGATTGCAAGTCATAATCTAAGGCCAAAATGGCTTAGATGTTAGGACATCTGCCTCGTCACTTGACCAGACCTAGATTAGTTCTTGGTTACTGGCAAATTTTTTTTGGTCTTGAGTGTTTTTTTTTCTCTTTCTTTTCATTGAAAGCCCTGTCATACTGCGAGAAAGGTTGACATCCCGTGACTTTTAACAAACATCTTTCATAAATAAATCTTCTTCCTCTGCCTTTGTAATGCCCAGTGGAGCATGGGCCCTCATACAACTTACACCAAGTCTTTCTATTCTTCATTATTCCCCATGTCCTCCCAATCTTTTTAACTTTATTCTCTAGCTCCCTTTTATGTGTTTTTTTTTGGGGGGGGGGGGGGGGGGTTAAAAAAAAATTATATGCTCCTGTAGGTGTGAATTTAATAGGAGAAAATCTCAGATGACCAGTTCAGCTGTATAAAACATTTTACGGGGGCACCCTTGGATTACAAAGTAACTTGCTGTCCTATTGGTTGGATCAGGTAGAAAGGCATCTTGGCAAGTCATATTGTATGAATTGATCACTAAAAGAAAGATCTGTTAAAAATTGTCTCCTTTCATACAAGAGTGTCAACATCAGAAGAACCTGCCTCCATGTTGCAAATGTTAAAAATCATTTAATAAGCAGTTGCAAATCATGAAAGTAGGTCAGATATGCTATTCCTTTGTAGGCTCAGAGGTCCTTTTTTTGGGAGAAAACAAATAGACCCACTACTCCTAACAATCATGTTGCAAAAAGCCACTAAATAAGGGCTTGCTAAAATTGGATGTGTTGTGCTGTAAAGCACACAAACCACATCCTAGCAGTAAATCACAAGGTGCTAACTGCCCTGAAGGGTGAGAATGCAGAATAAGGACAAATGTGCCATAGTCTGGCTTATTTTAGATAAAAATAGCTACATATAAAAAAATATGTGTGATTATAATACAGGCTGAGACATGGAGTCTTGCTAGTGCTGTTCAATTCTTGTAATGTGCAGAGGTTCTGCATACAGAGTTTCAAGGGAGTAGACTTTGATTCTGAAGAAGATGTAAAACAAGTATTGAAAATAAACTGAAGTTTAATATTAGTGAATAGGACATCTTTGATACTTGTTTTTAAAGAATTAAAATACTTGACTGATTAAAATAGTAATTGTCCAGCAAGTAGAAGAACCAAATTGAGTTTCTGGAGATGTGAATATTCGGAAGAGAAGGTTGTATTTCATTGATGGAAACAAAAACAATCAGATTCACAGGCTCTGACAAGACTGGGAATGAAAAGAACGTTGCTGGAAGAATTTTAAAATAAAACACAATTGAAGTATTTCAGCTACACTCTTATAAAAAACCATCATATTGGAGGGAAACGTTGAGGGCAGACAAGCAAAGTATAAATGATATTTCAAATGGGGAAGACACAGCAAGCGATATGTAGACATCATCAGTCCCAGAGTGTGTACATCCAGGATGTGACTGAGACAAAGAGTTGGAGATCACTGAAACCAAACATCATTGTGGAGATGGCACCTGATTTATTGTCCAAGTCTAAAAGCAGAGTGGCTTAGAGGTTATGATGCCTGCATCTTAACTCAAGCAGACTTGCTTTAATTCACAGGTACAGCTGAGCAGTCTGCATCTTATGTACATCCGTTTCTTTCTTAGTCAATTTGTTTTTTTCATATTTAGTTTTCAGAATGAGTGCACCTGTAATCTCTCCCATTGTTAACACCATTGTTAATTCATATTTCAGACTCTGTCCATGAATCTCCCATTTTACTTCCTCTGTCTTCAGCTTCTGTGAATTCTGTGTCATTTTTGTCTGGTCTTTGATCTTATTCTTGACTTGAATGATGCCTGCCTTTCCATTTTCTGGACCTGACTTATTGTGTGCAGTCTGTTGGTTCTTCACCTCTCAGGCAGATGCTCTTTAGCTTTGAAAGAAACCTTGATCCTGTCTATGTTGGTCATGCTTCCAGTACGAAACCTTGACCCTGTCTATGTTTGTCATGCCTTCAGTAGGAAATCTTGATCCTGTCTATGTTGGTCATGCCTCCAGGATTAAACCTTGACCCTGTCTATGTTGGCCATGCCTCCAGTAGGAAACCTTGATCCTGTCTATGTTTGTCATGACTCCAGTAGGAAACCTTGATCCTGTCTATGTTGGTCATGCCTCCAGTAGGAAACCTTGATCCTGTCTATGTTGGTCATGCCTCCAGTAGGAAACCTTGATCCTGTCTATGTTGGTCATGCCTCCAGTAGGAAACCTTGATCCTGTCTATGTTTGTCATGACTCCAGTAGGAAACCTTGATCCTGTCTATGTTGGTCATGCCTCCAGTAGGAAACCTTGATCCTGTCTATGTTGGTCATGCCTCCAGTAGGAAACCTTGATCCTGTCTATGTTTGTCATGACTCCAGTAGGAAACCTTGATCCTGTCTATGTTGGTCCTGCCTCCAGTAGGAAACCTTGATCCTGTCTATGTTGGTCCTGCCTCCAGTAGGAAACCTTGATCCTGTCTATGTTGGTCGTGCCTCCAGTAGGAAACCTTGATCCTGTCTATGTTGGTCATGCCTCCAGTAGGAAACCTTGATCCTGTCTATGTTGGTCATGCCTCCAGTAGGAAACCTTTTTCTAAGATGACCATATAGTGTTGTGCGACAGGTCTTGACCAGTATAAACCCTGATCCTGGTAAAAACTTATGCATCCCTAATCATGGGGTAATTGATAGAAGATATAGCTTTTTCAGATAAGTATAAAAATTAAGGCAAACAATAGTGAACACTCTACACATTAATTACAAAGTTCTCTGTTGTGCCAGATCTTAGCAGTGGGTTAAATATGCAAACTTCATCTGTTGCTGGGTTCATCAGTGATTATCTGTTTCTGTATTTGATCTAGTTTGAAGAATATAATGAAGTCTTCTCACATTTCAGTTGTAAGCATAGTGAGGTTGAACTGAGTTAACAGCCGACATCATAGCACTTTGAACATTTCCAGAAATGTTTCCATCTTCACCAGCCTGCACAGAGGTCCAATTCCAATGGTGCCAATAGCAGTCCAGTTGTATGGTCATCTTGTCTTTCCCCCTTAGTAAAGAATGTCGGTCAAATCCCCTTGTTGCTGCTCGCTGAACCGTCCTCCTTGGGTAGTGATGACCTATTTTTGCCTTCACACTGTTCGTGTGCACCTAAAAGGCCTTGACAACATCCAGCTTATTATGCCCCAGTTTACCACCACGTGCTGCACAACCAGCCAGTCTGTCTGCCTATCCCTTTGCCAGAAATAAAAATCCTGGCCTGCACAGTTTGTGGCAACTACACTAGCCATGCAGCCTTAAATCCTCAGGCTAAAGATCTGCCTGCTCTTCATCATTCTGAAAAATTGTGTAAACACAGGCATTAATGCCAAGCACGTGTTTCAACACTGTTAACTGTATGCTGCCAACAGAGACACAATCTGGCATAATCCAACCACAATGTGTCGTCCACATGGAGATAGGGACTGCACGAAAGCTTAATAAAGGCTACCGACTTTATGATGTGTAAGTTTTCTATCAGAACGATCAAAGAAAGAGAACATATATAAGGACATTTAGTATTTTGCTCCCCTCCCCCAGCAGTATATCGCCTAGCGCCTAGTATGTGCAATTTTTATCTTTTTTTTTTATTTTTTTTAATGATGTTTTCCCCAACACCCAATATATGGAGAATCTTTAGTATTTCATTCCTCCTATATTTTCATCATGATTAGAATTACCTGAATATTTTTTTAATGAATAAATACTAATACTTTTTCACAGATTAAATCAGCTAAAAACAAGTGGAGAAGAAGAATGGAGGAAGCGAGTTGGTAGAAAAGAGGAAATCCTGGCCACTCCAGAGGTCATCAAACTCCGAGAGAAGCCAGGATTGTCAGATCATAGACCCACCAGCATTGCTGATCGCTTGAATGAGCTTGAAACATCAATGACTACCTGGAAAGAGAGGGTGGAGGAAAGCGATGCTAAGCAGTTCACAGTAGCTGCCAGATTGGCTCGTAAGTAATCTGTTTTGTGTTATAGTATTTAATCTACCTTTTGAAGTCATTTTAAGTTGATGACAAATCTCTCTTAAGCCATCAATTAAAATATAAAGGAACATTTTCATAATGGGAGTCACTGGCTAAGCATTCATTAATTGGTGTCTGCACAAAATGAAGAATGGATATGTGTGACATAATCACTGATGCAGAGGTTAGTGAGAAATCTAAACAAACTCCAGTTTAACAGGAGGTGAGGAAAAGATGCAGGAATTAGAAAGGATACATAATGAGAAAACAGGAAAATATAACTAGAATATACTTGCAGTGGAACCTACAGGGCAAAGGAATAAAGGTATATTAAAAACATTTGGATAAGAGAATTCAAGAGTGAAGTAAGAAAAAGAGGGAGAGAAAATAGATGAGCTTCACTTCAAGAGAGGATGACTTGGCATGAGTATGTTGAGGTTCTATGCTCCATTGGGCAATAAAGGGCAGAAGTTTATTATTAGTTCATTTAATCAATCAACATCATGGCACATGGGTGTAACCCATAAATGCTCTGTTCTGAGTTTTGAAACATGTCAACGAAGTGTACGACCTCTGCTGCACCGGGGAGGATCCTGAAATACTTTGGGTAGATTTGAAACTCCAAATTTAGCCCGGGCAGCGCCGTTAGGCTACTCTTTTTGATTTCCAACTGCCAAGGGATATTTTTTTTTACATGCGCAACACTACACTCGAGCGTCCAATCTCACTATCCAGAGACCAGGGGAAATTACTGAAAGTCCACATGCAAAAATCTCAGCCCTCACCGGGGCCTGAACCCAGTACTCCAGCACTCGAGGTGGATGCCATGCCTGGAGACGACACAGCCCCTTGAGGGCAGAAGTAGAAACAGATTCACTCAAACATCAGTAAATTATTCAGGAAAGTTTTTGCAATCGAGTAAAAATTTTACTCACTGTCCTATTTGAAAAACTGCTGAACAAGCAATTAGTGCCGGCACAATTGAGAAATATGTGCATGCAATAAGTGCATATAGCAGTTGCTTGAGGTGCCAGAGCTAACAGTCACCACCAGAAATGCAGTTCGTTGTAGAAACAGATTCACTCAGTCATCAGTCAACTACATTTTTGCAACATTTCTGGATATCACTTGATAAAGTCTTAGTCTTAGTCAAGGTGTGAACAAACATCAGTAAACTATTCAGGAAAGATTTTGCAACAATCCTGGATATCACTTGATAAAGTCTTAGTCTTAGTCTAAGTCAAGGTGTGAACAAACATCAGTAAACTATTCAGGAAAGTTTTTGCAACAATCCTGGATATCACTTGATAAAGTCTTAGTCAAGGTGTGAACAAACATCAGTAAACTATTCAGGAGAGGTTTTGCAACAATCCTGGATATCACTTGATAAAGTCTTAGTTTAAGTCAAGGTGTGAACAAATATCAGTAAACTATTCAGGAAAGTTTTTACAACAATCCTGGATATCACTTGATAAAGTCTTAGTCTAAGTCAAGGTGTGAACAAACATCAGTCAACTATTCAGGAAAGTTTTTACAACAATCCTGGATATCACTTGACTTATTCTTAGTCAAGGTGTGAACAAACATCAGTAAACTATTCAGGAAAGTTTTTACAACAATCCTGGATATCACTTGACTTATTCTTAGTCGGGGTTTGAACCTCACTGCAATCGGGTTATGCCATACTTGCCCAGTTTCTGTGCCAGTGAAAATTGAATGAAATGTTCCTCACTGTCCCATTTGAAAAACTGGTGAACAAACAGTCAGTCCCTGCACAATTAAGAAATGTGTGCATGCAGTAAATGCATATGGCAGTTGCTAGAGGTGCCAGAGCCAACAGTCACCACCAGAAATACAGTTTATTGTTGGTGGAAGTATCTGAACATGACAGTGTCTACCATTTTGTTTTACCTGGTCACAAGGAAATAAGTTGTTTGCCTCTGCTTGTTCTTTTGGCAGTTTCTGTTTTGTGTCGCTAGACATTGCAATTGAACAAATAATAGGTAGCTGAACCCTGGTGCACTGGGTTGTTTGGTATATACTGTAAAGCTGGCAGTCTTGATCTGTTGGTGACTCTTTTAATACGTATCTTCTAGATCTTCCTCTGCTTTTTTGGTGTTTGTGTTTTCATGTATGCTCACGCTGCCGGCATTATTTGCCTCTTGCTCTGAAAGTTGTGGTTTCAGAAATGTTCTGACTTCATGGTGGTGACGATTTTCTCATTTTAATTTGATAACACCTCAGCAATTTAAGGTCAACTTTTCTGACCCCTACCACCATTTATACGTGTCTGAGTTTTGATTAACCTTTTCTGATTTTATTATTGTTAATATTGTGTCAAGTTTTGATGAGAATTTTCTGACTTCAGATTTGTTATGCCTGGTCATGTTATGGTAAAAATTTTGTTTTGCTTAAATTTTATTACACCTTAGCTAGTTATGGTTAAGTTTGCTCCATCCCTCCCTCCCCCACCGTTGCATTATACATTTCTTGATTATGCTTAACTTTTTCTGATTTGACTTTTGTTATAATTAACATTCTCTTCTTATCATACAGAGGGCCCCACAGACAGCCCACTTGTTAACAAGCTGAAAAATCTGCCCAGAAAAGATGGTAAGCCATTTCTCAAGTGCATATTTTATCAAATATATTATTCATTTAATTGCCATCTTCACAATACTGGTATATTCTGCTACCAAAATCATATTATCAGTATTTTAAACATGGGCAATGACACCTTTGGACACTTGAGTCCAGACATAGGGAAACTGCATCAGCAAACCTTGACCAGAAGCAGATACCTCATCAAGATTTCAACAGCCAGCAGGCCCATCTATCCACCATATTGGCACTGGAAGTCAATTTTCATTATTATTTTGTATAAAGTAATAAAACAACTAACACGCCTCAGTGGGCAATAAATAAAGTAAAAGAATTACTAACATGCCTCAGTGGGCAATGTATAAAGTAATAAAATTACTTACATGCCTTAGTGGGCAAAATACAAAGTAATAGAACTACTAACACACCTCAGTGGGCAATGTATAAAGTAATAAAATTACTAACATGCCTTAGTGGGCAATAAATAAAGTAAAAGAATTACTAACATGCCTCAGTGGGCAATATATAAAGTAATAAAATTACTAACACGCCTCAGTGGGCAATACACAAAGTAATAGAACTACTAACATGCCTCAGTGGGCAATGTATAAAGTAATAAAATTACTAACATGCCTTAGTGGGCAATAAATAAAGTAAAAGAATTACTAACATGCCTCAGTGGGCAATATATAAAGCAATAAAATTACTAACACGCCTCAGTGGGCAATATACAAAGTAATAGAACTACTAACATGCCTCAGTGGGCAATGTATAAAATAATAAAATTACTAACATGCCTTAGTGGGAAATATTCAAAGTAATAAATTTACTAACACACCTCAGTGGATATACAGGTTAAAAGCAACTACTTGGAACTGAACAAGCTTAACTAGAAATTGGTCATGTAGAATGAATTACTGCAATATATGTTTAATATAGAAAAGTGTGGTAATTGTCATGGTAACTGGAAATCTGTTTTGCATGTTTTGTCCAATCAGAACCAAGTTCGAGGGGAAACACACCATTATCTTCTCCTGTGACACCTACCAAAGAATTTATCGCCAAAATCCCTCTTCCAAAAGATATTGTTCAAGGTAAGCTGTCCTAATCATGATTTGATATTTTAATCGCAGAGAAATACATTAGATATAAGCTTTTCTAATAAAAATTCTATTATAATCAGGTTTATATTATAAGGACCAATTGTCAATTGTAAATGCGCCCCAGCTGTAAATTTTCATTTAAATGGTCTGCCATCTTTTTTTTATTACACCCAAGGTAATTAGAAGAATCTAGAGCGTATATTGGTGAAATAAACAGATAAAAGCTTCCTTAATAAAAAATTTTCTTATTCGGAATTAGTTAACAGTTTATAATAACAAGAACAGAAACAGTAAATTTGTTCTCTTCTTGGCATCACTTGGTTGTTAACTTTTATCACGTGAACCCTTTTCTGATTAAGTAAATAAACTAAAAGTAAAGGTCCCTTTTCCACGCCTTTAGGCGTAAGGGTATATAGGGCTAGACCTTGATGTGGTCATCATCACACCAGCCGCCTTTACTTCCTAGGACTGCACCCGGTACCCACTCAAGGCTGGGTCGACCTGGGAGTCAAGGTCATTTTTGAAAAAAGTCTGGCTCCGCCAGGGAGCAAACTCACAACCTTCCGATCCGCACACGAGCCTCTAGCTGCTACGCCACGGCGACTCCCGGTTTCCGATTAACGCTGCTGATATACGATTGTGTGTCTCCCCAGATACCAGTGTGGTTGTGGAGGAAATCAAGGCAACTGCGAAGAGAGAAGAGGAAGATGAGAAGAGGGAGCCGGTGACGGTAGAGGTCCCAGACATGGGAGAAGAGGTCGAGAACTTCTTTGCAGTGAAACCTATCGAGGAAATCAAGGACAAAGTCGATGTACAAGTGGATGACTTTAACAACCTGTTCATTGAGGCAGAGATGATGTGAGTATTACAGATGTTTGTTGACATATATATATGGTGTGCAGGTTACTTACATACAGTACGCTGACTTACGTATGGATTGTAGACTTACAAATAGTGTGCAGTTTACTTACATACAGTATGCAGTTTACTTACATACAGTACGCTGACCTACGTATAGATTGTAGACTTACATACAGTATGCAGTTTACTTACATACAGTACGCTGACCTACGTATAGATTGTAGACTTACAAATAGTGTGCAGTTTACTTACATACAGTAAGCTGACTTACGTATAGATTGTAGACTTACAAATAGTGTGCAGTTTACTTACATACAGTATGCTGACTTACGTATAGATTGTAGACTTACAAATAGTGTGCACTTTACTTACATACAGTATGCAGTTTACTCACATACAGTACGCTGACTTACGTATAGATTGTAGACTTACAAATAGTGTGCAGTTTACTTACATACAGTATGCAGTTTACTTACATACAGTATGCTGATTTACTTATAGTTTGTGAACTTACATATAGTCTGCTGATTTACAGGTAATATGTTGACTGACTTTATACTGGCTTACTTATACCAACTTCCATAAAGTATGCTGACCTTCATATACCTTCCTACATATAATATACTAACTTATGCATAGTACATATTTTATTTACATATGTTTTAGAATGCCATCTGATTAACATATATTATACTGATTTACTTACAAATAGTTTGCCAATTTGGCTGCATATAGTATGCAGTTTACTTATATATAGTATGCTATCTGACTTACAGACAGTATGCCTAACAGACTTAAATATAGTATAGTGACTTAACTTGCATATGATACATTGAGTTACTTACATATGGTATACATATGGTATAGTTTGTCAACTTACTTACATATAGTATACTAACTTGCTTACATATAGTATATTTACTTATATATAATATATGCCATTTGACATACAAAAAGTATACTGTTTTACTAAGTTTGTGAACTTAGTTACATATAGTATACAGTTGACTTACATACAGTATGCTATTTGACTACATACAGTATACATGACTTAGATATAGTAGAGTTACTTAATTTACATATAATATACTGACTTACTTACATATGGTATACTGACTTATAGTTTACTGACTTACATATTGTCATTATCTTTCCTTATGCAGTGGTCTCCAACTGGTTGGAGGAGGGGTGGTGGGGATGGGGTGTTGGACATGAGGAGGTTCCAAGGAGGGTGTCAAGCAGTTTTGAAAATGAGTGCATTTCTACTTGTAAATCTGTTATAACAACATATTATTTCAGTTTCATTAAATATGAAATGTGTTATAAACTTCATAAAATGAAAAGCAGAGGATACTTTTGTTTTTAGGAGTAGATTTGTACATCTGTCATAAAAAAATCTAATTATTTTGATAACATGTACATTTAACTGTAGATTCAAAACCGATTCCTCCTTTTTTTTAAATCACATTTTGTTTTGTTTTGCTGCGTTGAGATGAAAGGGGGAGGGGGGGGGGGGGGGGGTGGTGTTCTTGCCATATACTTGCAAAGTGAAAGAGGTTGGAGACCATTGCTTTAATTCATCCTTTCTTGTCACCCCACACTAACTCCAAACGGGTGCAATTTTACACATGTTGGTTCTTCTAACATTGTATCCTCTGTCAGCATTCATTCATTCATTTATAGTCTTCAGAATGTCTGCCCTGTATTATTCAGAATTATACTGAGGAGGGTCGAATTGATGAGTATTATATTGATACAAGTTGCATTAATATTAGAGGTGACTGCTTTATCATTTTATTTTTTAAATGTTTTAACACTGATAACCAGGTATATGATACATATTTTCATGATGTTGCCAGTTTGACCAGTATTCACAAAGTTCGGCCGAAAAGAAAAATCAAGTCCTCCAGTCGGAACCCTCTAAAGACCATGTCCCAGAAACTGGAGATTCGCCAGGAGTACACAGAAGTGAGCTACGGAACTGCAGAGAAGGAACTAAAACGAGTCAAGAAAGAAGGATGTAAGATGTTACCTGTTGCTTTTTTGTTGTTGTGTGGAACAATAATGGAATCTCTGAATGTTTAATTTAGATAGCAAAATAAATTATTTTAATGCAGGAATTTTAAACAGGGAATATTATGTATTTACAGACAAATATATGAATTATTTATTTGATCTGTGCTGTGTTTGGTTATCACAATCAACATCACTGCACAATGGGCATTCCCATGTGTGCTCAGTCCACCGATGCAGCAGCCACTATAAAGTATCTCTACTAACTGTATCCATAAAACGTTGGTTTAAATGTTTCTCAACTTGACCTCAAAGATAGAAGTGACGTGCTTTACAACCTTCGCTCTGAGGTCATTTAATTGTGTAAGCAGTAGAGATTCATGATATAAATAATTGATCTACGTAGAATAAAATACTAATTACTTTTCCACACACAAAAATTTATGAATTATAAATCTGAGGTCAGGTTTAGTACAATATTCTTGTTTTCATCATAAACTTTCTCTATTTGTTAACTGTATTCATTTCTGTACATCTCTAGTTGACTGATGTCAAAATTTGTACACTCATCATTTCTCATTACGACTCTGTTTGTTGTGTAGTTGATGTTTACACTGACCATTTCTTTTCTCATTATGAAATTGTACGGTGAACAGAGCATGCCACACAGACATATAATCCTTATATGTAGCCACTCCACCCCCTCCCTGACCCCCAACCATTTCACTGGCAGAAGAGTTGAAGATTTCCCATTACATCTCTGATTGATGTATGTCTGATGTTCCCTTTGTAAATCTATAAGTGTTGAATGTTTGATGTTTTCACTGATAATGTCTCAGTAATCTCAATTTTTTTTTATTGGTATGTTTGATGTCTTTAGAGATCACTTTTTGGTACATCTCTAGTTATTGTAAATCTGATGATTTGACTCATCATTTCTCATTACATCTTTACTTATTGTATTTTGTTTTTCCACTAATCATTTCTCTGAGCACTTTCAGTTTGTGACGTGTTTTTTTTTTGTCTGCTCATCAC